TGATCTGGGTGACAAACATATCCAAAATTCACCCAGATCAGACCAGGGGTTCGGGAGTTAGGTGGAAGAGACAATTTGACCGACCGCACACGAGGTGGTAGCCGAAAAGGGTCCCATGGGTTTTGGCCCTGCGGTCGGTCTGAGTTCGGGAGGTAAAATACACATATTTACATGCCATCCACTATTAATCTTGCATTCGCATGAATCCCCTTGTTCGGTATTTTTAACTCACCGAACGGGGGCTGATTAGCCTTTCCGTTCGGGAGTTATGGAGCTCTGGAGGTCTCAGCGGTGTTCGGGTAATTGAGGGTCCGATTTGAGTTCCAGACACTCGACGCCCAAACACCGCTGAGAGTTCGTGCATAAGATGGCCACCGCCACGTGTTCGTATGACGAACGGCGGCCACCCAAATACACGCATAAAGTATCAATTAACATGCGGTTAGAGCAGTGTGAAGCCTAATAAGGAGCACACTTCTCTTTGGGGTGGTCTACTGGTTCGGTAGGTTGATTCGTATGGGATACGGATGAAACTACCGAACAATCATACAAATTCTACTTACACTTTTAACCATATAGGAAAATAAACATACGAATTACAGTTTTAACACAGTCTTTTAGGACAGCCATAGTACCATCCGCTACAATATCGTTCCAGGATAGCACATGTATTGTGCCCTAACGTCAAACATTTCCGGGTTTCTGGTCTCATAAGCTTGACCAGACATTCCATATTTACCTGGCATAAACTAGCTAAACAGGTTTTAGATTTACCTGGCATCCCTCTGGCAGTGCAGATACAAGCTCTGATATCTGCACCTGGCCTGCTAAAGACTTAACACAATTCACAATTTTTATTAAGGCACTTCCCTGGTCTATTTGACTACTTCTGTACAACTGTAACTGTAACAATCCAAGATAGGTTTAGGTTTATACAAGTCAGGTACTTGCTTTCCTCTCCATAACTTAGCAAACATCTAAAAGATACAAGGTTAGCACCTTTAGGAAAAAAGATAAGAAGCGAGGTATGATTTCAGTTGGCAAAAAAAGGACGAACCAGGTGGATTACACTACCACCACAAGAATCACACAGTGGAGCGCTAAAGGGAAATGTCTTCACCCTATTTGATATTGGGGAAATCAGATGACACATCCCAGTTGTAGAAAAATAAGAGACAATATTGTCTAAAATGAGAGAATAAGACACATAATGATGTAGTATGCCAGTGGAATCTGGATATACAGGGAGTGCAGAATTATTAGGCAAGTTGTATTTTTGAGGATTAATTTTATTATTGAACAACAACCATGTTCTCAATGAACCCAAAAAACTCATTAATATCAAAGCTGAATATTTTTGGAAGTAGTTTTTAGTTTGTTTTTAGTTTTAGCTATGTTAGGGGGATATCTGTGTGTGCAGGTGACTATTACTGTGCATAATTATTAGGCAACTTAACAAAAAACAAATATATACCCATTTCAATTATTTATTATTACCAGTGAAACCAATATAACATCTCAACATTCACAAATATACATTTCTGACATTCAAAAACAAAACAAAAACAAATCAGTGACCAATATAGCCACCTTTCTTTGCAAGGACACTCAAAAGCCTGCCATCCATGGATTCTGTTAGTGTTTTGATCTGTTCACCATCAACATTGCGTGCAGCAGCAACCACAGCCTCCCAGACACTGTTCAGAGAGGTGTACTGTTTTCCCTCCTTGTAAATCTCACATTTGATGATGGACCACAGGTTCTCAATGGGGTTCAGATCAGGTGAACAAGGAGGCCATGTCATTAGATTTTCTTCTTTTATACCCTTTCTTGCCAGCCACGCTGTGGAGTACTTGGACGCGTGTGATGGAGCATTGTCCTGCATGAAAATCATGTTTTTCTTGAAGGATGCAGACTTCTTCCTGTACCACTGCTTGAAGAAGGTGTCTTCCAGGAACTGGCAGTAGGACTGGGAGTTGAGCTTGACTCCATCCTCAACCCGAAAAGGCCCCACAAGCTCATCTTTGATGATACCAGCCCAAACCAGTACTCCACCTCCACCTTGCTGGCGTCTGAGTCGGACTGGAGCTCTCTGCCCTTTACCAATCCAGCCACGGGCCCATCCATCTGGCCCATCAAGACTCACTCTCATTTCATCAGTCCATAAAACCTTAGAAAAATCAGTCTTGAGATATTTCTTGGCCCAGTCTTGACGTTTCAGCTTGTGTGTCTTGTTCAGTGGTGGTCGTCTTTCAGCCTTTCTTACCTTGGCCATGTCTCTGAGTATTGCACACCTTGTGCTTTTGGGCACTCCAGTGATGTTGCAGCTCTGAAATATGGCCAAACTGGTGGCAAGTGGCATCGTGGCAGCTGCACGCTTGACTTTTCTCAGTTCATGGGCAGTTATTTTGCGCCTTGGTTTTTCCACACGCTTCTTGCGACCCTGTTGACTATTTTGAATGAAACGCTTGATTGTTCGATGATCACGCTTCAGAAGCTTTGCAATTTTAAGAGTGCTGCATCCCTCTGCAAGATATCTCACTATTTTTTACTTTTCTGAGCCTGTCAAGTCCTTCTTTTGACCCATTTTGCCAAAGGAAAGGAAGTTGCCTAATAATTATGCACACCTGATATAGGGTGTTGATGTCATTAGACCACACCCCTTCTCATTACAGAGATGCACATCACCTAATATGCTTAATTGGTAGTAGGCTTTCGAGCCTATACAGCTTGGAGTAAGACAACATGCATAAAAAGGATGATGTGGTCAAAATACTAATTTGCCTAATAATTCTGCACTCCCTGTAGTGTAAAGGGAGTATATATATCCAACTCACATGATAGAGAGCCTAAAGATCGGCTCGAATCTCAACCGCTTGGGTATATATGGTTATACCAGACCCTTCTCCAGATCCACAGCTCATAAACGTTCAGATATATGGAAACAAAAGTAAAATATTCTAGTGCAGGATAGGAAGACCACCCTATTGATTTTAATATTTGGTATTTTTACTCATTGTAGTCTTTAATTTTTATTTTTTGTAATACCCGATAAGTTATTTTATCTGGTACATCTATCCAGTGGATCTTCCATTTGCTTCCTGTATCTACATACAAAGAAGGGCATTGCCTCCCTTAAAGGCATAGGTGCTTTTATACATAGAGCCTTGTATAACTGGCTCTATTCCAGGTGAGCAATTTTATGCACAATCACCTTCATCACTGTCTTCATTTAAACATATTTGAACTAGGATATTTTACTTTTGTTTCCATATATCTGAACGTTTGTGAGCTGTGGATCTGGAGAAGGCTCTGGTATAACCATATATACCCAAGCGGTTGAGATTCAAGCCAATCTTTAGGCTCTCTATCATGTGAGTTGGATATATATACTCCCTTTACACTATATCCAGATTCCACTGGCATACTGCACCATGATGTTTCTTATTCTCTCATTTTAGACAATAGTGTCTCTTATATTTCTACAACTGGGATAAGTGTCATCTGATTTCCCCAATATCAAATAGGGGTAAGACAATTCCCTTTAGTGCTCCACTGTGTGATTCTTGTGGTGGTAGTGTAATCCACCTGATTCATCCTTTTTTTGCACATATCTATCTGTGCGGGTTTGGGATACCTGCATGTGTGTTGAGCTACTTCATATACACTTATATTCTTTATTAAGCGCCAGTCTAATATTGCACAGAGCACCCCCTCTTTTTGTATAATTTCACTTTGCTAATCAGGAGTTTAGCAATTGTGTGTACCCTTCATATAAAAAGAGGTGCAAGGTGGATTTGGGTATCTGTTTCTTGGAAAAGCACTGGAATAAGATTCTGAGATTTGGTTTATAAATCAATGTTTAAAATAAATAAATCCCAACATTTTTAAAATGTACTAACCAATTTAAATTGCTTCGAAAATATTATTCAGACACATTTAAGGTTTAAATTCATATTTTGGGGAGAAAAAAAAAACCACACAGAAAACAATGAATTGAATGTTCATTACTCTCAAGGATATGCAGAATAATTTTTTTTGTTTTTCTAACCCAAATTTTGATATGAACAACCATTTTTTTTCTCAGTTTCTGTTTTAGAAATTTTTCTCACTCATCTTATCTTTTTCAATCAAAAGGCACTACTGTACTTCCTCAGAAATATTGCTATAAACTTCACGTGGTTTAAAAAATTGAAAGCAGAATAAACATGTACACCGTCGGTGAAAGTAGGGCGTGAGATAGTATTTGAAATGCAATAACAAAGTATGCTTTCCACAGTGCAGCACGAGTCAACTCATAGTGACAGAAGAACACCTATCAATCTGCAGTTACTGGTACGGAGACAATGGCATGAAGATGGATAAGGTAAGTTGGCAGTAATATATACTTGAAAGAAATGGAACACTGCATATCATATAGGGAAAAAAAATTGAAAAGCGTAGCAGTGTAATTTTGAAAAAAGAAATGTATTACTCTAACGGCAGACCAGACAACTAAGCGTATTACATTCGAAATGAATATTGAAGGGAAAATAACCCTTCATAGGATTTTTCTAATGCCACAGGATAGTGAAATATTGTGTTCAATGATTGTTTCTAAGATTTCAAGAGCAGCAATTTAGATATTTCAAATGTTCCTACTAGATATGTCAGCAGACAATTGTCTCTAAATGCACCGCAAAAAAGGAGAATTATTGATTATAAAGATATAAAATGATGTCTCCGAACTTGATTTGTGCTATTACTTGCCCGCATTTACTTGCTAATTTTCCAGTTTACCTACACTTGCACCAATTTTTATTACTACTTCAACATGACTTCCCAACTACAAAAGGTAATTTCTCTGTGTAGGTACAGTTATGTAATAGACTGGGCTGAATATTACTTTGGATTACAGTGCAGGGGGACCCATTCTGTTAAATCAATGTTTTGACCAGTAGGCGACTGCACATGGCATTGTAATACAATAGACACACAAGTTGTTTAATACAGTACTTTAGATTGATCTTTATTGATGCTACTTCCAAATCTACAATAAAAATTTGTAAACAGTTGTTTCAAAGTAAAAAAGGCTCAACTATGCTCAATTGATATAATACAATTCAAAATGTATTTTTTTATTTTTTATTTTAAATATGACATTAAAAAAAAAGTCCTAAATTACAAAGCTTAGTAGCCTTAGCACCAATATTGTTATTAGGTCCGTGCTGGGTGGAATTAAGGGGTTCATTGATTACAAACAATTTGGTTATGAAATTTAAGGCAAAATAACAGATTTAAAACACTGCTAGTTTGGTCTTTATTTTGCACCTTTGTTTCAATAACCCCATTTCATGATACATTCAAGTAAATTTTCCCAATATGAAGCGAGAAGACACAGCAATGTATCCTGAATGTTTTTTTACAGGAAAGCATTCCATTGAATTTCAAAATCAAGATTTACAAAACATTAAGAATCAGAATGAATATATAGTAGATGTGGCAGAAACATAACAAAAAGTGAAGCACTAGCACAGCTACCTACAGGATAAAAACGTAAACCAGAAAGAAATCACTTGTCATAGACTGTAATTTAAAGCAGAGGTGTGGTGCATAACAATTGTAATAATACTGCCTGGAAAAAGCTATAAATGTCGCTTTTAAATTATCACTTCATCATATTCTTGCGTTCTTTAGTAGCACAAAATATTGTTTAATTTATTTCTGGCTGGTTAAATACAGTGACACTTTACATAGGTGATGTCCAACATTTAATAAGCCTGGCTACTATTCAGAAGCTTTGGTGATGAGGCCCCTAACTAGTACTTTAGAATATAAATTATACACGCAATAAGCCTGGGCTGCACAATTGTTTTTACCTTTTAAATTTGTATCTGTTTATACATATCTTTATTTCTACAGTGCAAAAAGAAAACGGATATCGCAAATAAAAATTACAAAATTAAATGCAGTAATTTATAGACAAACATTTGGAGAGCAAATAAGGGGGGCGGGGACTGACTTGCATGGTGGAGAGAAGTGTTTTGATAGAGCTCTCCTCTACCGACAAAAAGCTGATTTTAGCCTTAATAAGCTTGATTTGGCTGGCATCCTGCAACTTACCTGCTCCTTGCCCAGGAGTCAAAAACTCGACAAGATCTCATCTATAACACAACTTGGATCATGCGGCCTAGAGCGCGCTGGGTGGGAGAGGCGACCAATATCCCGGCCTGGAGTTTTCGGATGGCATTCAGCACTATACAGGTGCCCCGTAACCCCCTCCCCTCTTTGACTGGCAGGGTGATTCCGGTCCACCTCTCGGAGGCTGCCTTGTTAATAAAGGAACACAAGGCAAAACCACTTCGGCTGAAGCTACATTTTCTGACTTGCTTAAGATGGCGTGGTTCCCTGACAACATAAGGGACAGGCAAGATATCATGTCCAGACTGGACAGAACATTCGCAAAATTCTGGTGCAAACTGGAGCTGAGGTGGCAGTAACCTCTACCCAGACAACCGAGTGCCTACTCACCACAAGAACAGAATCCTTGCTTGAAACGGGAGAGCATAGCTCCAACAGCGCAAACGGCCTCAACATGGCAGCGAAGTGGAAAACACACACATGCTCCAGCACAGAGCTGCACACAAGCGGGCACCAACACTGCCCATCGCTGGGACTCTCGCATGATCTGAGGTACTTGGCAGCACCCCTATCCTGACATATTGTGCAGAGATCCAGCACACATCGAGGCTTGGAAGCCTGTCTCTCCACTCACCGGAGTGGGACTCTAAGCCAAGCCCCTGGTCGGCATAGGCTAACTGCGGAGATTCAGCCTGCACACGGAAGAGCTTGTGGCCCTTCATACTACCCCTTTACCATTGAGTATTGGATGGAATATCTATGACATTATTTGTTACATGTGCATTCATCTACTATTATTTTAGGTCAATCTCTGGTTTCTCCTCTGCCTGTGCAATAATCACCTCCCTATTTCTTACTCTGTGCAAAAAGCTTGGTGCCTCCCAGGGAACCCTCCATGTTGTTCTTTACTGTTAAGCCTTTATATTCCTTAAAAAATTTTTTTTTTTAAAGTGCAGCAAAAACACACATCGATATATTATTGTTTTAACTCATGCAATCTGTCATATGTCTTTGCTTCAACATGTATCGGACAATGCACTTCAAAAATAAAGAATGTAAAAAAACAAACATTTGGGCATTTGAGCAAATAAATGTACTTACATGAAGAAAAAAAAAATGTTAGATGTTGGATTATGCTATGATTGGAAGCACTAAAAAAAAGTGCCATCACTTAAGGGAGCAAATTGGACACAAGAAATACAAATCTGTTGGTTTAAATCAATGGTTCCCAACCCAGACCTCAAGAACTCCCTATCAGTCCAGGATTTAAGGATTAACCAGTTGTGTGTAAGGTGTTTTTAGAAGAAAAAAAACGGGGAAAAAAACCCCAAAAAAAAACACTTGAGACACAACAGGGTAATCCCTAAATCCTGGACTGGTGGGGGGTACTTGAGGACTGGGCTGGTCTAAACAACTGGTTTAGATGTAAGATTTTTGTTTGTTTTTTACATTTTGTTATACCATTTAAGCAATTGTTTTGAGTAATGAAATGTCTTTGGCTGTCTCCATTCCATTTTTTATTCTGTTGTTCAAATAATTCACTACCGAGGATTTTTTTTTTTTTTTTCGGGCACTGGCCTCCTCCCTCCTCATATCCTTAGTTCTGACTGGCGTGGAATGTAAATGACTGAAAGGAGCAAGACAAAAAGCATTCAAAAGGTTGGGAGCATGGTGTTTTCATGAAAATATTATTTTAGCTTCAGACATGTTGCAGCTACTGTGTGCACACTTAAACCAATGTAGGCTTGGAAACATTGGGTTTTGTACTGCTTTGCTGGATATTACGTGAATAAATATTGGCACTATTGCACTCACACACGTAGGGGTTTCACAATAATTTTTTGGTCTCTTACTTTAAGCAGATACATTTCCAGTCTGCATTGGCAGAAACTACAACTTCATTTTCTAACGTGTGCAAAATCTGCTAATCAGGTGTTTAATTGGTTCCCAAAACTCACATTAAAGTTATAAATGTTCTTGTTGTGTTACATTCCTCAAACACACTGAATAATGGCAAAGTGAAAAATGGTTGACCAAAAAGACATATCTTCAGCGATGCAAAAATCTAGGTTCTCACATTTAAAGGGAAACTCCAGTGCCAGGAAAACAGTTTTCCTGGCACTGCAGGTCCCCTCTCCCTCCCACCCCCCAATCCCCAGTTGCTAAAGGGGTGAAAAGCCCTTCAGTAACTTACCAGAGGCAGTGACGATGTCCCACGTCGCTGCTTTTTCCTCCACCGCTCCTCCCAGTGATTGCGTCGGCAGGTGAGCGAAACTGATCCCGCCCACCAGCCGGGGAGACCTAAGGCACATGCGTGAGGACGTCCAGCGACCCTCTAGCACAGGTTTCCTGTGCTAGGGACACGAAAGTGCCCTCTAGTGGCTGTCTAGTAGACAGCCACTAGAGGTGGAGTTAATCCTGCAAGGTAATTATTGCATTTTATAAAAAAACTGCAATAATTACACTTGCAGGGTTAAGAGTAGTGGGAGTTGGCACCCAGACCACTCTAATGGGCAGACGTGGTCTGGGTGCCTGGAGTGTCCCTTTAAAGTTAGCCTTACTATATGTGGTTATCTTGTTCAGTCACAGCAACTACAGCAAATGTGTTGTAGTTACTATGCTATTTTTCTATAAAGTACATCTCATGCTATCTTTAGGTTTATAGGAGATACAGGATGACATAGGTCACTCTATTCTGACACCTATGTACTGACAACGAACCCAGCATGTTGGTGGATTGTCCCTTTTGTGACAGTATTACCAGAGGCAGGGAGGAGCTTGGACTGGATATTAATTTAGTGCATCACCGATAAAGTAGAAGGTAAGCCAAATAAGTAAATAACAATTGATTATACCATTTATACATATGATAAATTATTCATTCATCACCTTTGAACAGGATCTGTCATGACCGGTTTATTTAACCAAATTATTAAAAATCAATTAGAGAATAGCAATTGTGCTCTGGAAAATGAGAGGCAGCTTGAAAAATGGTGGTAGGAAAGTAAAATTCTACTATTCTCCTGAGTTTACGATGAGTTACATTGCATCAACCCATAAAAGACATTAAAATAAATGAAACCATTAGTACAGTTTTGTTATAACTGGAGGATGCCTATATCAAAAACAATAGCAGCATTGCATGCAGTGGTGTATTTAGGATTTGCGCTGCCCTAGGCAAGACAGCACTCGGGAACAACCCCCCTTAATTTAAATTTTCCCCACCCCTTCCAGTCAAGGCCGCACTTTGACTGACAGACGCACACACTCACAAATAGATGCATACACTCATTGACAGACACACACTCTCATATACACTGACAAACACACACCCTCACTGATTTGACACACTGATAGACAGACACACTATTACTCAGCCACAACACTGACAGACGCACAAACTCACTGACCGACACACACACACACACACATTTCCTCCAACACTCACAAATTATTTTAAATCCACCCAGCCTCCCTGGGAGAGCTGGAGTGGATTACTTACCTGTCCAGTAGTGCTGCTGGGCGTACAGGCAGAGTAGGCGGCGAGGGAGCTCTGATTTTCCTGCTCAGCTCCCTCACGCGCCACTTAGTGATGCCGGGAGCCAGTCTGACGTCATATTCCGGCTCCTGTCTTCATTAAGCGGCACGAAGGGAGCTGAGCAGGAAGAGCTCAGGTGAGTACACTCCCAGCCTCGGGGGGTTCAAAGTGGCCAGCACTTGAGCCCCCCAGGACACAAGGCAAGCAAGGGATCTGCCTGGGCGTTTGGGGGCAGCATTTTTTGCCTCGTGTAAGATACGTCCCTAATGTATGGCTACATGGACTACTAAAGCATGGCCTTGTTTATAAAATACTCTTTTGAACAGAAGTCACTGTGCAAGTCTTCCTAGATCTCAAATTTAAACAGTACAGTTATTTCATGTGTTAAATGCATAAACTGCAATCATGATTTGAGAATACATTAGCCCAGTGGTTCCCAACCTTTATTTACTTGGGTACCCCTTGGCAATCCATCTCCATAAATTGTACCCCTTATATTAGCAAAATGTTTGTAATAAACATAGTTGCTGTTATTTCCCTGCTCTTCACTCTGCCCCAGGCTCTAACTGCTCTACCATCTGCCCAAGATTTTCCCTGCTATTCCCTCTGTTCAAGGCTCTCCCCTTTGCCCCAGCTTTCCCTGCTTCTCCTCTGCCACAGGCTTTCCCTTCTCTCCCCTCTGCCCCAAGCTCTCCATTCTTTTTCCTCTGCCCCATGCTCTCCCTGCTGTACCCTCTGCCCCAGGTTATCCCTGCTCTTCCCTCTGCCCATGACTCTCCCTGTTTTTCCCTCAGCCACACAAACAGATACAAACACTGACCCTAATAACGATGCAGACACACAGATACAAACACTGACACACAAACAGTTGCACAGACACACTGAATGACACAAATACAGATACATATAAAATCACTGACACACATGCAGATACTCATTATCTATGTATCTGCATGTGTGTCCGTGTATCTGCATGTGTGTCAGGGTGTGTATCTGTGTGTTCAGTGTATGTATCTTTAAGTTTGTCAGTGAATGTATCTATGTGTCTGTGCATCTGCATGTGTGTCAGTGTGTCTGTGTTTCAGGGTATGTATCTGTGTGTCAGACACACAGATACATACCCTGACACACATACACATCCTGACACACATACAGACACATACCCTGACACACAGACCAACATATACACACTGACACCCATGCAGATACACAGACATAGATACACACTGACACTTAAAGATACACACCCTGCCACACAGATACACACCTTGACACATGCAGATACACAAACATGAAGATGCGCAGAGATACATACAGATACACATACATACCCTGACACACATGCAGATACACAGCGATACATACACCGAAACACATGCAGATACACAGACACATATTTACATATTCTGTGTCTGCATGTGTGTCAGGGTGTGCATCTGTATGTCAGAGTATGTAAATATGTGTCTGTGTATCTGCATGTTTGTCAGTATAGGTATTAGTGTGTCAATATGTGTGTCTCTGTGTATACAAATGTGTGTGTGTATATGCATGTGTGTAGTATCTACATGTGTGTCAGGGTGTGCATCTGTGTGTCAGATACATACACTGAAACACTTAAGGATACATACCCTACGTTTCTTTGTGTCTGCATGTGTGTATCTGTATGTCAAAGAAGCGTAGGGTATGTATCTATGTGTTTTTGTATCTGCATGTGTGTCAGGGTGTGTAACGGTGTTGCAGGGTATGTATCCTTAAAGGACCACTATAGGCACCCAGACCACTTCAGCTTAATGAAGTGGTCTGGGTGCCTGGTCCAGCTAGGGTTAACCCCTTTTTTTTTTTTTTATAAACATAGTTTCAGAGAAACAGGTATGTTTATAAATGGGTTAATCCAGCCTCTAAAGCCTCTAGTGGCTGTCTCATTGACAGGCGCTAGAGGGGTTTGTGTGCTTCTCACTGTGAAAATCCCAGTGAGAAGATGCAAACGTCCATAGGAAAGCATTATGCATGCTTTCCTATGAGACTGGCTGAATGCGCACGCAGCTCCTGCCGCGCATGCGCATTCAGCTGAAGAGGAGGAGAGGAGGCGGAGAGCTCCCCGCCCGGCACTGGAGAAAGAGGTAAGTTTAACCCATTCCTCTCCACAGAGCCTGGCGGGAGGGGGTCCCTGAGGGTGGGGGCACCCTCAGGGCACTATAGTGCCAGGAAAACGAGTATGTTTTCCTGGCACTATAGTGGTCCTTTAAGTGTGTCAGTGTATGTATCTGACACACAGATGCACACCCTGACACACATGCATATACACAGACACATTTGTATACACAGACACACACATATTGACACACTAATACCTATACTGACAAACATGCAGACACTGTGCTGTGTGAGGGGTGTTCTGTGTGAGGGGTACACTGTGTGTGTGTGTGTTAGGGGTGCGGTGTGTGCACAAATTTTCGTAGCGCCCCCCCCCCATTGCTCTGTGTGTGTGTGTGTGTGTGTGTGAGAGAGAGGGGTGCTCTGTGTGGGTGATGGGTATTGTGTGTGTGGGGGACGGGGGGTGCCCGTGTGGGGGACGGGGGGTGCCCGTATGGGGTGGGGGGAAGAGATAGGAGTAATGCATAAAAAATAAAAAAATAAAAAAATTTATTCGTAAAAAAAATTAAAAAAATAAAGTATATCTACATACAAAATAGGAGTTCAGTCCTCCCGCGAGATCCTTGAAGCGCTGCCGTGGTAACCCGCGGCAATGCTCCGATTTGCCGAACTTGCGGGAGGAACCTTCTGCCTCCTGCTCCTCCCTCCCTCTCCAGGCTGCCTGTCAGTGCCTGTGGGCCAGTGAGGGAGATCCCACCAGCCCACGAAGGCACACAGCAGGGCCGGCGCTCGGATATCGCTCGCCCAGATAGGGCTGGCAGGGGAGATCCTGTGACCTCCCCTATTGGCCCATGGCCATCGCGGCAAACTGGGCATTTGGCCGATGGCCAGGTTCCCAACCCGTGCCACCGCCATTCCCTAAAATGAATACTAATTAAATTTGAAAACAAGTTAACCAACATTGTGCGTTTTGGTGCCATGTGTAACAGTAAGAAAATTTCTGTTAGAGGGAGTAAAATCTGTCTTTATACAAGAGGCTAATGCAGGGGTTCCCAACCCGTGCTACGTGTACCCCCAGGGGTACAATTCAGTGCCCCGGGGGTACGCAAAATGATAAAAAAAAAAGGATAATTTTGCGTACCCCCGGGGCACTGAATTGTACCCCTGGGGGTGCACGTAGCACGGGTTGGGAACCCCTGCATTAGCCTCTTGTATAAAGACAGATTTTACTCCCTCTAACAGAAATTTTCTTACTGTTACACATGGCACCAAAACGCACAAGGTTGGTTAACTTTTTTTCAAATTTAATTAGTATTCATTTTATGGGATAGTAAATGAAAACAGATATCCTGCTCCAAAGAAACTCTACATTTCATTTTTAGAGATCTCTCATTACCAACTGCATCCATGTTTAATTTGAAGCAGCATTAACCAGATTGCAAAAAGTTGTGACTCAGAAGAGAAAATGAGCATAATGTTCTTTTCATTAACACAAACTTTTACAGTCAACGGCCTTAGCCTTATCATTACTTGGCAACTGTGATAACTAGAAATAGCCTAATCAGTAGAATTCATATACAATGTCCAATTATTAGAGAAAAAGAAAGGCAACTGTAATTCAGTATGGAATAACCTTAAGCTCATTTAAGCAAAGCAAGAAACACAGAGAGACTATTAATATTGTTTATGCCATGTTCTGGCCTATAATAGCAGTTAAGCTGATTGCAATAAATAACATCAACAAATGTTTATTGATTATGCACAAGATAACTTGTATTTTTTAAGCCACTACTTTTCCATGGGTTTACTTCTACTGAAGGTAAATGATCAGAATCAATATTTACTTTATTATTCGTGATAATGCTGACATACAATATGGAATTTTTTTCAGATCTGTGCTTATAGCATTTACTTATAAAAGCTTAAAGGACCACTATAGTGCCAGGAAAACAAACTCGTTTTCCTGGCACTATAGTGTTAATAGGTTCCCCCCACCCTCATGGCCCCCCTCCCGCCGGGCTCTAGGGGGAGGATTAAATGCTTACCTTTCTCCAGCGCCGGTGACTCTCCTCCCTCTTCCGACGAATACGCATGTGTGGCAAGAGCCAGCCACTAGTGGCTGGATTAACCCTAATGTAAACATAGCAGTTTTCCTGAAACTGCTATGTTTACAGCTCCAGGGTTAACCCTAGATGGACCTGGTACCCAGACCACTTCATTGAGCTGAAGTGGTCTGGGTGCCTAAAGTGGTCCTTTAAAGGGGCACTCAGCACATCACAACCACTACAGCGAACTGTAGTGGTTACTTTGTCAGTTTTCCCTGAACACCATCCGCCAGTTATCTGACAAAAAGTTATCTTTTTATAATGATAACGGTGTTTAGAATGTCTCCCTTTTAAATAATTTACCAGTACTATATGTTGCTTTGATTCATCAAAGGAATACACATAAATACATTACAATGCCTTAAGCTTGATGTAATTACATGTGACTCGTTTCTTTGGAAAAGGAATATTCAGAGACTACAAATGGACAAACCAACATTAATTTTATACTAAAATACAATAGTGGTCTTCTGAAATGGCACACCATCAGGACCTTTAATTTTTTTCCCTGTGATTTATATCCCATATTTGGAAAACTCCTAAAATAAGCCTCCACTTAAGTCAATATGCATTTATGTCCTCAAATTAACAGAACTTGGAGCAACACATAAGATGGGAAATTTGCATAAAGAGCAAGAACAGCTCAACATTATTTACAATCCCAGTGTGCATAATCATATTTAGCCTACTAGTACGAGTTGATTTGACATACGCTTTGCAAAGTAACAACTCCATATCCATTAAACTATAAAACATCAGAAAGTAAATTGAATTTCAGTTCAATAAAGCAAAATATAAAATAGTGTTATTCCTAACGTAGCATACCGAGGAGAGTAAGGCGATCTCACTAGAACTGGGGGATTTAAAGTAGTCTATAAGAGCCTTTCTACAGCAACAAATTCATTATTTTACTATTACTATATCTATTTGTATAAAAACCTTAGTCCAAGCATTGCTCATAAGAAAAAAAAAAAAAACACACACGTATATTTGTGTCCAAGACTGAGCATCATAAAAATTACACAAATTCTATAGCGATAAGTAAAGCATTGCTTAAAGTCAGAATTAAAATATAGAAAATATCATTGATATACATCGACCGAGATCGAAATAATTCATATTAAAAAATAAAATACATATATGTAAAATGGCAACATTTAGCTGTATTATCGTATTGTCTTATCTTTGCTACTGCATTTAATACGGAGATATCATATGAGTATTCACTATATATTCGCTATAATTCAAAAAATGTATACTATAGGTGCAAAACTGTTTTTGCACTTCTTTTTTTGTCTCATATTAAACAACCTCTGAAAGGCTAAAACATTTAGAAATATGCATTTGTACACTCACCAAGTTTGGCTTATTGAGTTCCCTCTAAGGTACCAGGTACACTTAAAGTGAACCTGTCATGGCATATCCCAAAAAAAAAAAAAAAAAAAAAAAAAAAATGAAAAAGATTTTAAGATATTACAAAAAGTTTTATGTGCACAGTTCTTATAAAAATAAAAACATACATAAAGAACAACTGCAGAAAGAATAAGAAACAATAAAATACATAGTGTGAGTCAGGTTTACGTATCAGTGGTATGATGTTAACTTTTAAAGAACTGTGACTAAAATGCTAAGCTATAGGTGTCCTCTTTCGTTGTAATATTTTTAACAGACCAGCAATGCTCGATTAGAAATAGTTATTACATTAAATTGTTTACCAATACATTTATGTATGTATAATCTTCACTTTTTATATGCATACTGTTTTATGTGGAAAGCAGTTATTTAAAACTCTTTAGAGACCAAAGGCGTTAAAAAAAAAAAAAAAAAGTGTAAAAATTTTTTAAATGGAATGCGAATTGAATCCCTCGTGATTCAAATTAGCTTGTTAGCAAGTTTAAGTTTGTGACTGCTGTTTGCGAAAACGTTCAGTAAAAAGGTAAAGGGAAGCATGTTTCATAACATTTAAATATACAAACACCTCAAACGGTTTTCTTGTTTAAAATGAAGCTTAATTTGTGATATTACTCTTGATTGAAGTTGTATTTCAGATTTATAAAATAGAAAAGGCAAAAGATTTCCCTAGACTTGGCAATACATTGTTAGCTGATTTGAAAAATGAACCATCATATTCAAGAAGTGCCTTCAGATCTTCTTTTCTGCTTCCAGTCTATAAAAGATGTATGAAACAAAATTGTGTGTGGACCATGGATGCAAAACACGCAGGACATGAAAATAATATGTCTGGTGCATCTACCTATTAACAAAATTGCAACTCTAGTAAAGGTACCTTGTTTTTAATATAAAAATAAAAATGGGGGCAAACTATCAATCTATACAATCTATAAATTGTATAGATGAAAATGTTTAAGGACTCTGGTCTCACACTATTTTTTTAACCCCTTTTAACCCCTTCTGGAATAAAAGGGAATTATGACATGTCACACATGTCATGTGTCCTTAAAGGGTTAAAAACACGGTTACGAGATGAAAATATAAAGTTTACTACAACCCCACAAAGTTGGACTAAGTCTCGTAAACAGCTGTTTAATGCGCGATTACAATAAAGAGGATAGTTTGACAGATGAGTGCTGAAACCTTCTTTGTCGTAATAATTCTTCTGCATTGGCCTGTGGAACACTAGCCTTGCAATCCTCTTGAAAAATGTGAATAATTAATAGTTCACTTTGGACTGATAGCAATTGTGTAGCTTAGGCTATGGAGAAAGCACCCATAATCTTGATGTCTCTCTTGCTTCCTTTCTCTTTACATTACATTGCAATGATAAAATCCATAGATTTGATGAACTGGATGTTTTTCATAACGTAAAACGGAGCGTATTACTCCTAGGAATTCAGTTTCCTTGGTCAATCCTGCATGGTACACAGGTTCTTTTTTTTTTTACAAAGTTATATTTGTATTGTACAGATATTGCTGTTAACTTGTACACAGGTAGCAAATTAACATAATGGTGAGAATATTCCTTGATTGTTGCGATTAATTATAAAAAAAAAAATTATATATATAATTCTAAGGCTCCACTTTAACAAAAGATCAGCAAGTCTTGGGCCTTCTACCGAGCTTCTAGGAACAATTCATAGTTAGGAGAAAGGGCATCCACAGCGCTCTTGCAAAATTGTTTCCATGATCAAAATACTCTGTGGAAATAGTAAATAAAATTGTTAGTAAGTATTATATTTTTTTACATTGCAGTTACACTATATGATGTATTAGTGGTTATTCATACATATGCCATGCTTTCAAATTCTAGCAATTCCAAAATTTAAAAGCAGCTCTAGGAAAACATTTGTTCTTTTACATTTCAGCAGAAGAATCATAGAATATAATAAGAAGTGTGCGTATTAGATGCAGTATGTATAGTGAATGCAGAGTGTGTGTGTTTGTGTAGTGTATATAGTGTGTGCGTGTAGAGTGAAAAAAACAAACTTTTACATTTATTTTGGTACATTTTATTCCTCCATCTTATTCCTCCATCCCTGTTTCTTGTCCAGGTCAGGTCTCATGGTAGAGGGAGTCAGCCACGGTACACTGCTGAGGGGGCTCAGCACACTCCATCCTAACTTTCCAGCAGCAAATAGGTCTCCAACTCTCGCAAATTATTTGTTTGCCGAACTGAGCGCGCTCTGACGGCCGGGGAGATCATGAGACTTAGAGATGATCACCTGGGAAGTTAGGATGGAGTGTTCTTGGTCCACTCTACAGTGTAAAGGCAGCCTGGGGCCTGCAGGGGCACATATAACAGTCATAGTTGTTATGCCTTGATGACAGCCCTACTGGGGTACAGGCATATATTTGTTATTTATATATTGTCAGGGTA